TTGAGTAATGCTTGATTTGATTTTGTTTTGTTGTTCTTTGTTTTTTTGGCTTCTGAATCAGTGTTGAAAAATATCTGCCAACAGTAATTATTTTCCTGGAAGCTTAAATGCAAAGTCTAATTTTTACTGGAAACCTAGGGGAGGGGAGGGGAACCGATGCGGAGAACGGCATTCGATGTTGAGTGATGGCCATGTCAAACACTTCAGGTGAACCGACTTGCTGTTCATAAAATAAACGCACAATGTTGCTTTTGGCCCAAAGTGGCGAACTGATTCTGCTGAAGGACTCGTGGCAAACTAGCAGTTTTTGCTGCTGGTCCAGAAGCTTTTGCCCTCCTTTCCCCCAAACCTCTAGGTGCGTGCGTAGCTTAGCCGTGAAGTTGATGGCGATTTAAGACGAAACCTGAATTTCAGACCCCAGAATTTTTCGGTATCTTTCGTCAACAGCTTGCGGCGCGTTCCGGGTTTGTCATCCGTCGCGTAAGTACGGGAAAAGTTTTGGTGCACTATCAAGGATATTTTTCTCTGCTTACCCATTGAGAATGCACATGTGGTTTATAAATACGTTTCAACTTTGATTTATTTGTCTGGTTAGGCAAATCGGCAGATGCGACTTTGGGGAAGGAGCCCTCCCGTTAAACTTGAGGCACAATTGTAAAATTAGAAGTTGCTGCGCGTCCTCCTTACCCTTGGTTTGTATTATTTCACGTTTGTACCCTGGACGCCCAGCTGGACCTTTGCTAGTCGGGCTTATTACAGGCAGCATCAATCACGGCGCGGCTCTCGCTGGCGGTTACGCGGGTCGAGTTCATACTGCAGCCAGAGTCGAGACTGCCCGCGCGTCTCCATGGGGTCGCGTAGCGGTTTGCCCGTCCCGCCGGGACCGGTGTCCTGCGCGGCCGCGGAGAAGCCCGCGAAAGCGCCTGCTTGATTTCGGATACGGCGTGAAAGCGAACGTGAAGCCCGAGAGCGAGAATTGAACGAGTTATTCCTTTCTTAGGGAAGCGCCTTCCTCCCCTTACTTGCAGGGAAAACACGTGCACGCGCAAGGTGGTTCTTTGCTCGATGGCGTGGGAAGTCTGTCAAAGGGGTGATAAGTAATTGGCTTTATTGTCCTTCCCCCCCCCCCGCTGATTGGGAGCTGGAACAGAAATTACCATGTCATAACAACATCACCTTTTGCTTCCTGCTCTGGTTTCCCTTTCCCAGGGCTCCAAAGGGCTCCTGAGGCTTAGCTCAACCCATCGCTGGACAGTCAGCCACGTAGGAGGTGGCAAGGCATCTCGCGGGGGGGCTCCCGACCTGTCTCCGACGCTTGTCCGCCCAAGCTGGCGGGTATTATGAGTTCCCTGGTGGGTACGGGAGCGACCTTTCTCTCTCTTCCACACCATCTTGTTAACAGCACTAAAACACCTGTGCGGCTTCTAAAGTTACGGAAGAAGCAGACCATAGACTGTAGTTTTTCCCACGCTCACATTTTAGTGCTGCTGAATTATAACAGCGTATGTTTTTAAACGTGCTTTCGGGGCCAGCAGTTGTTTTTATCCATTGGTTCCTACTGCTGTAGAGTACGTATAAATGCGATGTTGGTATTAATGGTATGAGTGGTGCCCTGAATATCTTCATTTAGTTCAGAAATCCGATATTTCTCTAGCAGCAAAATAATGGAAGGGTATAGAGGAACAGGCTCTCTCCAGGTACCGAAGGATGCCCTCTCGGTTGTAAAAGAAACTAAACTGGTTATATATAAAATATATATAAATATATAAATTTTAATAAAACAGTTAATGTGAATGTTTTCCTGAGGGAGTGCCTTTTCATTGAGCAGGTCGTTTGACTTGTAAAAATTAAAACACTTTTAAGGAAAAGGAAGTCCTGTTCTGCAGGATGCAGTGGTAAGAGAGGACGTTGAAAGGGTCGTGTGTGTATTAGGACTTTTCAGATGTGCATTTGCTGTTGTGGTAAGGCTTAGGATGAGGCAGAAAGCTAAGATAATTCTTGATCACGTGAATAAAAGTATAGTAATAGATGGTTATAGATTCTAGGCCATATATATGTATATATTTTTAGAAGTTTGAGCAAATTGAAGGGTTTCCCCCCCCGCTTTCTATTTCTTACTGTTTCCTTTGTGGAATAAACATTTAAGAAGCTATTAAGTAGAAGAATTTCCTGTATTGTTGTCCTGCTCTTCTCTGAATTTTGTGACCTTTGGCACTTCATAACGCCAAAGTGCATTCGCGAGTGCGGCGCGGGGCTCTTGGGTTTCCGTGCGCGCTTGGAATACGTGCAAGTACTGACCCCTACGTGCTGAAAGAATAAAAGCTGGGGAGGTAGCAGCGTGGTGGTGGTGGGAATCCAGCCGTGGCCGTCCCAGTGACTGAGTGGTGCCGTACCTTAGCTTTCGCGGTAACCTCGCAAATTTGAGAAGACTTTTAATTTGCAATCTCAGTTTAGCATCGTCTCTGCAGAGCTTGTCTTCGTTGGTCTGCCTTCCTGCTACGTGCTTACTCTACGCAACCTTGACTGCCTCTACTCTATAGGTGAAAACAGTTGTTTTGGTAGTTGTTGTTTGTTGGTTTTTTTCTGAAATACAAATTATTTTTGAAAAGTGGATCGTAGGTTTGCTGAAAAAGTCTTGTGTATGTGTCATATGGGACAGACTCTTAACTTTGGCAGAATCAGTTTACCATATCAGCTCTGAAATCATGCTTGCTGTTTTAAGTGAAAGTGCTTTCTTACTGCGTTAAAACATAGTACCCCGTGAACGTTAGGGGCGTTAACTGATTTGGTCACTATATCCGTGGTAACTGTTGATTATATTATTTTATACTTTTTGGTTCATGAGAGATTATTTATAAAGCACATGAATAAATTATACTATCACGATGCCTGGTAGGTATCATTTTTTAGAAGATGTGTTAAAACGTCTTGTACTTAGCCTGCGAACCTTTCCTTTTTACTGTTAGCACCCCAATAGCATCGAGACCTTGACTAATGCTCCCCACTTCTTTTTCCCCAAGGAATTTCTATTACAGGCTCTTTCTTAAAGAAACACCTACTTTACCTTAAAAATGGTATCTGTATTCGCACACTTAAAAAAAAAAAAAAATTACAGCTTTTTCTTTATCTTTTTGCCCACATTCAAATTAGAAATTTATACGAAAACATCAGGCTTCAAAAGCAGTGCATTTCCATTTTAAAGAGCAACCTTAGTGTCATAAGTTGTAACAGGCCAGTAAAGAAAGCCATCGCTGAGCAGGTCTAACATATATGCAATCCTGTAAGGAAATCATTCCAAAAATAGCCAAATCCCTAAACCTTTAAGCCTCTTTTTGATCCACGGGATTAGCGGAGATTTCCATTTTTACACGGTGAATTTTTTGGCTGTTAGGGATGCGTTGGGGGAACCATGCGTTTATGGAAGCACTGTTGTATAGGGGTGATATTGCTGCTGAAGGTGCCGTGAGTGCCCGGGCCTCTGAGCTGGTCTGCCGGAGAGACGCCTGGTGTAGACTCCTTGGTTTGAATGTTGGTCTTGAATTTGGAGGAGAGTCCTTTGGATATTTAGCTGCTGAAGTAGATAAAAGCCTGTCTATTTGATGAGCCAAACCGAGCTAACAGTTGAAACAACTTAATTAACGTACAGGATTTGCGATACAGCCGTTTACTGGAGTCTGTTCCAACCAAGTGGATGTTCTTGGGGTGTTGCAAGAAAAAGCGTCTCATGCCCCAAGGGTGGGATTGCAGGCTCGCCGATGAAGGCACCATTTTTCTTCACCTTCTGTGGCACGTTTAAGATTTTTTTTTGGCTAATAGGAAAGTAAACGCTGACTTTTATCTTGGGAATTGTAGCGCTCTTGTTTTTCATGCAAGATGCTGCCCTGCGTTGCTCTTCCTCTAGAAGTCCCCTGGAGCAACCTACACGCGAAGTCTAATGGAGCAAAAGCCAAAATATTTCTGATAGTTGACAAATGTTGGCACAAATCTTGGCTGGGGAAACCAGCACAAATATCCGTAGGGAGAATCCCGACGTCCGAATGGAGCTGTTATTCCCGTACCAGTGTTGTTGCAGAAGAGGGCAGCTTTCAGCACCAAGTCTTAATGAAAATCCGCTTTGTGCTGCACAACAGGAGAGCTGGCTCGTATCAAGGCCCTGTTTCTCCCTTGATTCATCCAGAAAGGAAATGAGGCGATTCTTGCACAATATAACGTTTCATAGAAAAAGTCTCTCTTGGTATCACCCCTAGTAAGGTGAGGCTGGTTTGGTTGGTCTCTCGTGAGGTGCCTTTCTCGAAGGATGCTTTTCGGAGAACGTTTTGAGCGTGATGAAAGTGAAGGTGAGGAAGGCTGCAGTAACCCCAAAGGGAATTTCCCACTGAAGCAAGACAAGCGAAATACGGGATAAGAAGAGATAGGACCTCAGCGGTATTTAGAAGGGGAAAAAATAAATGTTTTTTCAAACCAGCATTTTGGTCAGTGTTCGTAATGTTGTGGCCAGTCCTTTGTGGCAAAAGCTTGCTCTCCTGCAAGAGCTGTTTTAAACTTAAAGCCCAGTGATGAAATAGCACCGGGCAAAAGAAATGCCCAGCTAAAGAGCAGGAACTGGCAGAATCGTAAAGGCACATGGAAAGCGGCATCGGCAGTTTTCGTGTACAAGTCCGGGGCGGTTTCACTGGCCCAGGAGTTCAGTGTTTTAATCTTATCTCATTCTCCATCTTTACTGTAATGTCACAAAATCAGCGTAACCTGTTAGAAATTAGTTGATACTGCAGCCAGCGAGGTGAGACAAGCTACTTTGGCATCTGGGGCTGTTAAAACCCAATTTTATAAATAATCTGTGTCTGTGGGTAGGGAGCAAGGAACCCCTAGATGAATGCTCCTCCCTTAATAAGCATCTTTTGGAAGGAATATTGTTGGTAGGTGCTAAAGACGCTTCTTGGATACCAAGCAAAGAAATTCAAGATAAATATTTTCAGGTGCAGAGTCCGGTGAGACCTTCCTGTCAAACTCTGCGCGTTCTTTTGGTATCGAAAGCAAGAAAGCAAGGCTCTGCTGAGCAGGTAAGAGCAAATTTTAATGCAGCGGTAAAGACAAACAAGCAAAAACTTGTAATACCGCTTTTATGTGATTTCAGATGGAACTACTCTTGCACTGTTTTACTTGAGGTAATTGCTTGGCAGTTTACTTTCTGCAAGAAATAGATAATATTTATGAACGGTGTGGGCAAAACTGTTTTTCTTTATTCAGGTTTTTTCCAGCCATTGTATTGTGAAGGACTAACAGTAGAAGCCTACAAATAGGTAAGGATATTAATAGTATCTGAAAATGTCTCCAAAACAGTTCTTTACTCTAGGTTTTCCAGCGTGTGCACTTCCTTTGTCTCCCACTTGTAGGCAGTTGGTATTGTGCAGCCTGAGAAGTTTTGCATCGCGTGATAAGCGTATTGTCACTGCATAACAAATGCCTGGTTTTCAGTTAGAGGAAAATGTTTCCTAGCAATAGCGCTACATACAGAAGTGGGGAAAATAGCGCTCTTTGGAGCAGATATCAAACTGATGCTCCTGCACAACTGTACTTTAATTAAAAGCCCTCATGGTTAGTGGTTGCTACCAAAGAGACTTGCTCTGTTGCAAGAAACGTCTCGTCACTTGAATCCGCTGCTCAGCAAGCCACGTTAAATGTATTAATGATACTTTTTCTTTTTAATCTGATGAGGAAACAGCATGGTAAGCATAATCCTAATAAAGTGCAGCTATTTCTTTGTTTGGCATCTGGAATATTGCTGTGATTTCATCGACCCAGAACATCAAAGCGAAGCTCAGCTGAGGCTCCTCGCTGCTGCTGGGCATCAAGAAAAAAATTACATAAATCTGAAGGCTTGGAATGTTTCTGTAAAACCCAACGTTTCCCAGGGTTTCTGAAAAGTCATCCGACATCACTGCAGGTCACTTGGCTTAGGCAGTTTGCCATGCATGTGTCACAAGGTGTGAGGGGGCTCTTCCCCCCCGTCTTTCCTTATCCTGCAAGCTTTTATTCATGTTTCCGTAGAGGAAAACTGCAGAATAATAAATATCCTACTTCTCTAATTTAGAAATGCCACAACAGTAATTGACTATTACTGTTCCCCTTTCAGCCCAAGGGGAGGCAGGTCTCATCTGGATAAATATTGAATCAAGGTGTATGTCTTGGCCACTTTGGTATAAGTTAAAAAGTGTTAAATCCATGTAGCTTTTAGACTCATAGGGAAATTGTTCTCGAAATTGTTGCAAATAGTTTTAAAAAACAGCATTAGGATAATTGACAGAAAAATGACTTTCAAACTTCCCTTGCAAAAGCCTTGAAAGCCGGTTTTGATGTTTAGAGGATGAGAGATGTCCCCCTAACCAGCCAGCAGAAGCTCTAGCACAGAATTTAGTTGAAATCTGTGCGAGCTGAGAGACTCTGGCACCACTGGAGGAAGTGAAAATAAAATAAGGACGGGCATTTTTAGGAATCTGCTTTTGAAAAACATAGATGTGTGTATTTGTGCCTTGTAAATATTTTTAAGCTATTTAGAATAGAGATATATAGATATAGATATATATATACATCCATATATATCTATATATATGTACATATATGTGTGTGTATATATAAAAAGTGTAAGGAAGAAAGCTGATAGAGTTTTATTCTGCAGAGTTTTTGTAGGTTAAAAGAGCCAGCCTGAAATGTTAACCTGAAAATAGAAAATTCCATTTCCTCTTCCCGTGAGCTAAGTGAATGCGGATTAAGCGTGTGGGACCAGCAGAAGGTAATCCGAGGGGGAAGAGTATATCATCTTGCGTCTACAGAAGTGGGAGTGTGGGAATCAGGATTGTTTTCCAGTCGGACTTGCTGTGTTATTTTGAGTGAGCCTCCTCACTGAAAACGTGTCGAAAGCTGTCATCTATTGACAGGGAAACTTAAGGGATGGGAAGCTTAACTCTGAGCTGCAGACCTAACGGATCAATGCTAGCAAGGGGCTGTCTGGCAGCATAAGCGGACTGCGTTACTTCTGAAGAATAATAAATTCTTCCCTCTTTAAGGAATAAATCCACCTGTGCATAGGAAATAATCTTGGTAAGTTAGATACCCTGGATGCCCCGGTCTGTAGAAATTACAGTGCATGAATTGCAGCACCTGGGTCTACTAGCAGTGCGTCATTGCAGCAGCGCATTGGGGATTTTTTGCTAGTGATTATATAGGAGAGAGGGATAATATGCAAGAACACGCTTGCATATTATTATGCCGCATCGTGACAACTCTTCCAAGGGTTTTACAGTGACTAAAACTTGTTCTGAAACGATGCTATGGCTTCAGGAGAATATTTGAGAAATTGTAGAGTGCTCTGTGATGTGAACTGCTGGATTACAACGCGTTGGTGTGAAGCCTTCTGGGAGTAAGACCACTTGACGGTTCATGTGTTTAAATGAAATGTGTGCGAGGATGTAACCCTGATCACTAACACCTATCACTGTACACATCTGTTATGTCCCTTCTCACTCTCATCTTGCAATTCAAATCAACCTTTTTGCTGTTTTTTGTTTTGCTTTTTTTTTTTTCTCATTCAGGATGCAGACCTTCGTATGCTAAGCAATGAAATGAGGGTGAGAAATAAAGTATTATGGTGCTGACATACCTTTAAGTGTTAGTTTCTGTCACACTTTTGCAGTATTCTGTTGGCTTAATCCCATCTCTGTTGTTGTCATTGAGCTGTCTACAGCAAAACCCAGGTCACGGTTATATTTTATTCTTTCCAGTCTGTATTACCTTGCACTAGTCAAGATTATTCCACTATCGAGCAGCTTAATTATCTGGCTTTTTTGTGGTCCTTGGGATTCTGTGGTCTTCTCTGGTTTTACTGAACTTGCGTAGTTTGGTGGTGATGCTCATCGCGTGGAGCTCTTCCCTGGCCGCTCTTTCCTGGAGATGCGGTTTAGCCCATCTCTGTATCCAACAAAGAAGGCTGGTGCATCTTCTTCACGGCTGAAATTTAATACTAATTGGGAGGAGGCAAGGAAGTAATGAAGAATATATAAAGGAGATGGACTCGATGACCATTCAGATCTCCTGAGTTAGGTTCTTGCGCTGAACTGTTCCTCGAGGAATCGTCTCCCCCGGGGATGATGAGGAAACCTAGTCTTTGTAGACTAAATTTGCCCTATGAGTATCTCCGTCTTTTTATCTTGACGTTAGACTAGACGTCCCTAGACGTTAGACTAGGGACTTTAACGTCCCTTCCAAGCCAGTTTTCCAGGTCTCTAGGATAAAGTCCCCCCAAGATGCTATCATCTCCACAGCCCTCCAGGATAGCTTTTGAAAGTCCAGGCAAGAGCTACGTTTTCTTTATCCAGACAGATAAAAGGAGCACGCCGAAAAGGCCCAGTTTTTCCACGACCGAAGCCGTGTTAGTTTGGTGTTGATCTAGCGTGCTTCTCTGGGTGTTTTAGAACTCCATTAATTCAGACAGAACCGTAATTTCCAAGGCTGTATGTGAGCATTTCCCACTCCTCCCTTTAGCTGATTTATATGGAAAATTGAATATTTTTCCCTAGTAAGCTTTGAATAAATCAAACCATGTTCTTGCAAACCAGCAAAAAGCACCTCAAACACCGCATCCGAATCGGGCTGCCTGCAAAATAACTGGCTGCATGGTGGGTGCCAAGTTATTGGGGCTGTGTATTGGTTTTCTGTAGTCAGTTCAATTACTGAAAGAAATAGATTTTGTTCCTTTTGAAAGCCAGGTTGCTGCTCTCGGTCTAGACTGCGTGCGAGCGTTTCGGACTGCCTCGCTTTGGTTCCCGCTTGCGCCGTCCGATGGCGTTGGTATTCTGCACGTGCGCTCGCAGGGAACGAGCCGGCGCCGCGTCCGGGGGCGCGGGGCTGGCTTGGCACGCGGGCTTTTTCTGAAAGCGCCGAGGACAGCTGCGTGTCGTGATGAGAGCAGAAAAGCAGTAGATTTTAGCCCACCTGAACATAAAAAACCCTCTCCTTCAGAAAGTCTGCTGTGCCCTAAAAATGCAGTGGCTTGTTTTTTGGTTTTTTAGGAGGGTTTTTTTGGAACAAATAAAACATCACTTGACGTCTTCCTATGAATCTGCATTTAGGCTGACATAAAATAATATTCTTACTTCTCTAATAAGGCACTTAAGCAGTCCTAAACTAAAGATTAATGCTCCCCCACACTTTTTTCAGTTACTTTATAGACTAAAATGCTTTGGTTGCATGCAGATGCATCTTCGGTGTCAAACGTAATAGCAACAGTCATTTACTTATTAAAATATCTACAAAATACTTATTTACATCAAGTAACTCCCTTGTATTGAGCTTCTGGTTTGGGGGGGGGGTGCGCTCCATGGCAAGTGGATTGCCCAAACTAAATGCAAGAAGTCATTGATGAGCCCAACTTTAAGCCCTGCGGTGTATGACAGTCCGTGTCGTTTCTCACCTCAAAATTTAGCTTGGTATTATCAGAGGTCCATATAAGATCTTTTTATCGCCTAAAAGGAGCCTAGAAACCGAGCCGGTGCTGTTAAAGCCTATATTCTGGCTAGTGCCGTCTGGCCAATACCTTAAGAATTGCTGCTTTGGTTTTTGCATCGTGGCTAGCTTTATAATTTGATCTCCGCTGCTTTCTTGGAAACTTTCTGGTTTTGGGATTGTGATCGCTGTGGGTTTTGGCCCATACCCGCAGCTGGCGCGGGCTAGCTCCGCTCTGCTAACGTTGTCCAGGCAAAGTGACTGCCATTCGCCGAAGACCTGCCTCCTGGAGGACCACGTAGCTCCGGGTTTAATTCTCCTGCCCCTATGCTTTTAATTTCTTTCACCCAACTTGGCTGTCAGAACAATATAGTTGCTAAGCAACTTCTTTACTTTTTTTTCCTCATTGCCATGGCATTTCTCTGCTTCCCCCGTGTTTCAGGGGACTGGCGGAGAGGGGCTCTGCCGTCCCGGGGAGCGGTCGATGCTTTGCATAATGCATGAGCCGATTCCTCCCAATTCCTTATCAAAACCGCTTCTCGCGCCCCTTGCTTTCCTGGTGATCGGGTACGGCGCGTTGCAAACCAAGCTTGCTCATTCTGCCTGCAGCTAAAGCCAAGCCTATTTCATTAAAAGCTCAGAAATCTGCGCAGATCTAGCCTAAAAACCCATTGTGTGCTGCACCGAGAGCTTCCTTGGGCGGCCCGGTTACTTTGCTTGCCTCCTTGTTTTTTTTTTTTAAAAAAAAAAAAAAAGTAATGACTCATTAGGAAAATCACTTTTCAAGCAACACACGCGTGGT